AGGCTGGCTGTCCTCTCGCCTTCTCCCTGTGTGACAGGCTGAGCCAGTAGTTTTTTTCTGGCCAGGATATTTCATGAATCATTTTTATCCATGAACTATGTGATATTGAAGCTAATAGACTGGGCTTTTCTTTGGTTTGAGGTTGGTTCCTAACATCTAAAGTGTCATCTTCCAACATAAGCAGAAATTCAACAAAGAAATACTTCAAGGTTCTCTTCTGCAAAACAGCAAAGAGAACAGTAAGTTAAAGAAGGGACTTCATGAAAATGCTGAGGCCTTCCCATCTGAATTCTGTGCAGAGCCTTATCTGCTCTGAACCATGGGAGTGTCTGTCAATGTAGGTATCTGTCAGTGGACTGACTTAGAAAGAATAAAATAGAGTTCATTAAGTGTTTACAACTTCTAAAATAGTACTATTCAAGTCAGGTATGGATCATGAATCACTTTTAGGAACAGTGCCTTGAGATTTATTTCCTAATATCACTGATGTTCAATTTCTTCTTTTGTAAAATGGGGGTGTTATTGTTTGAGGGGGAGATCATTATTTAACCTAAGGTGATCCTATCAGAAAATTAAGCACTGCCAGCCATTGAGAGTTATTTATGAACATTAACTTTTATTTGTGGGGTTGTGGGAAAGTTTTCTGCAGAGAGCAGAGGGGTTCCTTTATGTAGGAAGACTGAAGAGCAATACAGGGTAATGTATGCATCTTAGGTGTTGTTCCGTTGTTGTGAAGAGGCACAACTTTAAAAGAAGCAGCTCCTTTAAAAGAAGCATTTAATTTGGGAGGCTTGCTTACAGCTTCAGAGTTGGTCCATGATCACCTTGGCAGGAGGAGAGCGGCAGGCAGGCAGGCATTGAGTTGAAGCAGCTAAGAGCTTTACGTCCTGAACCACAGGCAACAGGCAGAGAGGCTGAGACTGCTGTGGACTTTGGAACCTCAAAGCCCCCAGTGGCACGCCTCCTCCAGCAAGGCCACAGCCATTTCAACAGAGCCACACCTTCCAATTCTTCCCAAACAGCTCCACTCCCTGGTGACTAAGTATCCCGACAAATGAGCCTATGGGAGCCATTCCCTGCTGATGTGACTTTATTCTAAAGGGAAGTTGATCCTTGAAACAATTGCATCCCGTATAGAAAAAGGTACAGGATGAGGCTGGGAAGTGGCTTTATAATTATTCTAGGGAGTTCTCTACAGAATTTTCTCCATACTTTTGATGATGATGTCACATGATTTCTTCTGTGTGAGTTAAAAACAACTAGTTTAAACACTTGATCTTGCTAAGAGCAGAATTTTGGCTAATACATGACTTCATTCCTTCAGGAGGCTAAAGTGGCTAACAAAATCAATTATCCCAAGTTACCTTTATTCTATCACAGTTCAGGTATAAATACTAATGTGCTTTAACCCATATCATCTATATTTTATACTCACAAATAACCCTATCATATCCTGTCCAATTGTTTTTATGCTATTTATATTTTATAAAACATACCACAAATGACAAGCAAACACTAATGTTTAGTGAGCAATCATGTGGTTCATCATTCTGGTACTATTCCTGAACTATGTAAGTACCTACACAGAGAAACCCTGTCTCAAAAACTAAACAACAACAACAACAACAAAATCAGCTTTAAAGCCAGGCACGATGGCAGCACTCCACAGGCTAGGACAAGAAGTTGGCAGGCTTGAGGCCAGACCAGGTTACAGAGACCTTGTTTCCACAAACAAAATAATTTAATAACAGGAATTTTTCAGAAATGGGTTTCCCTCTTCTCCTCCTCTTGGAATCCACAACTTGTATTTAGCATATTTTGGTGTTTCCCCATGGTTTCTGAATATTCTATTCTACCTTATCATCTCCCTGCTTCTGCTTCCCAAGTCCTAGGATTAAAGGCAGAAACCACACAGATTTTCCTTTTAGTCTTTTAAAAAATATGTATGTGTATGTATGTTTTGCCTGCATGTATGTATATTTACTACATGCATGCCTGTGGCCCAAATAGGTCAGAAGAGAGCATCAGATCCTAACTTATGAATATTTGCAAACCACCACGTGGATGCTGGGAATCGAACCCAGGTTCTCTGCAAGAACAAGTATTCTTAAGCACTGAGCCATCTCTCCAGCTCTGATAGTTACATTTTCAATTAATGCAGCTAAACTGTAAGGTTTTTTTCTAGAAATAATTTTTTTCCAGAAAATACTCATTCTCCAATATTTAGCACTTATGTGCAGGTGCTATGTGCACAGCTCTGGGTTGACAGCACTGCATTAGTTCCTGTGAGAGTGCAAGTTGCTAGAATCGCAGTGGCAAAAGCACAAGTGACCAAACAGCCCGCTGTGCTCCTGCCACTTCCACTAACAGTGGTAGGACTGAGGAAGGGGAGATCAAGTGGTCCGGTCCATCTGAAAGGAAATGATGGTGTGCAGGAGGGGGAGCGATGATAAATGTTTGTGTGCAATAGTTAGAACACTGCCTGCCTGTTTCTGAATACCAGCCACGTCAGTTTCTCATTATTTCTCTCAGTGATGCCCCAACGTAGCTACTGTTAGCATACTTCTTAGTAAGCACAGAGAACTAACTTTCCTAACTCGTCTGTCTGGTTCACTTTAGAACTGACAGTTCCACCACCATGCAGCTAAGTCAAAACCTCTGCTTTTGACTAGAGGCCAAACCACTGTTGAAGGCAAAGAGAAAGGGTTATTGAGCTTAGCAAAATGGTACACAGTTTTGAAGAAAAACAACAACAACAACAAACCCTGAAATATTACTCCAGTGTAACAATCCAAAGAAATAAAGGTGAAGAATAACAGAGATTGCGCTATCTCAGCCCATACCAATAGCCACAGGAGGGGCCCAGGCTTTTCTCATCTAACTACATACATGTCATGTAAAAGGCATTCAAACGGACAGCTCACGCATTGCTAAGTTCAGTGCGGACAAGAGCCTGGCCGCCCGGCCTCGTTTGCAGCAGGCACCACCACCGCTGGCACTGCCACGAGAGGCAGGGTGCTGCTCCTGCAAGAGCTTCTCAAGGGACACTGTGGATGCCCTCTCTGAAGTTCCTAAACACCGCTTTTCGTCTGGTAGCTTTAATGGTGGTCTTTTCTCAAGTTAAGAAACTCGCCTGGCCAACCTCCCCGAGCTTCGTGTGTGTGTGTGTGTGTGTGTGTGTGTGTACGCCAATCCCACAGGTCTCACACAAATATTTGTTTGTTAGCAATCAAGAAATTTAATTTCAGGTAGGAACCAATAGTGTAGGAAACAGAAACGCTGACACACTGCGTAGAATATCAAGTCCAGAATACAGTGTGCTTAAAACTTCTAAAACAGTATTTTGTTTGGGAGAAATTTTATGGCTAGAAATAATTTTGCCCAATACACACAGTTGTAACTACCATCAAATAGTTTAAAACATTAAAAGAATTAAGCAGAGCCAGGGTTTTAAAGACAATCATAAAATGTTATAAGAGCATGATGATAGTAATAAAACCATGGAGAAATTTAAGTTATAAATAAGGTTTATGTAGCTTTAGGGATCCACAACTTGAGAATAAAAATAGCAATATTTCTTATATGCCATCATGATGATTAAATAATTTTCCTGAATAATTTAATCCTCACCAACTCCATAAGGTTATACACCAATCCCATTTTGCCAGGTAGGAAACTGAAGCCTACAAGTTAGGTTACATGTTCAGGCTCAGAGAGGTTGGTCTGGTCTGGGTTTAAACACATAGCCTAACCCTGAGCCCAAGCTCTTAGTCCCTGTGGTAAGCTTCCTCTGTCAGACCTGACTTGTTCTTCAGCACCAAGAAAAAAAAAAAAAAAAAAAAACATGTTTGGCAGCTGGGAACCCAACACAGCTGGGAAAGTAATGGCTGTGTGAGCACAAGAGCCTGACTGGGTTTGATCCTCAGGACCCAGACAGAGGTTGAGCATCATGTTTTGTGCCCCAATACAGCTCTGGAAAACCGTCAGTGGGGCAAGGGGTCACACTGCTGGGGCTAGCTGAGTTGCTGAGTTCCAGGCTTAAGGACATTTTAATAAAAAAGTAATAAATAAATAAATAAATAACTGGTGTATAAGACAGGCACAGTGGTGCACACCTTTAATTCCAACACTGAGGAGGCAGAGGCAGGTAAATCTCTGAGTTCAAGCCCAGCTGGGCAACCAGGTCTACATAGTAAATTCAAGGCTGGCTAGGGCTACATAGTAAGACCCTGTCTCAAGAAAAAAAAAAAAAGTGGATGGCAATAGAAGACATGCAAACATACTCAATGAGGACCTGTTGCCACAACATGCACGTATACAAAGTGTGTGTTCACACACACATATGCACACATTCAAAAGTAGAACTAATGTTAACTGGCCAAGGAAAGACAAATACAAACGTTTCAGTTTTCAAACTGAGTGGCCCCCAACTCTCCTAACTCTACCTGAGTCCCTAGGGAACTTGGGACACATCTGTAGCTGATTTTCTCTTTCCACCATCATGGAGAAGAAACCTTCCATGTCCAGCCAAGTGGTGTTCTAAAATCTGGCTTCACATCATTCCAGCTGTTTTGTTACAAATACACAGGCCACTTCAGAAATTCTTAGAATAGTCTGGTACACTAAATGCCAATCACAACTTTCAATTCTAAGAAACCTGGTTGTGCCGTTCTGGCCTGAAATAAGTTTTCAGAAATGTGGTCATTCTGGCTTAAATTTCCTCCAGCAATTCGGAGAACAGAGAATTGATGTAACCATTTCAAAATGTATGTTCTCTCCTGTTCGCTCCATTCACTTCTGACTCTTGAGGCCAGCACATCGTCCGGGCACAAAGAAGGGTAGAGTAGCACCATGCCCCCCCCCCCCCCCGCAGCTCTCACAGCTGCCCTGCAGGCCTAACGCAGCCACCACAGCCACCCACCTTCACCCTTACAAGCGGGTCACACAAGTCAGCCGGGGCTGACAGAGGAGTCACAGTAGAAACACACAGGTGAGGAGACTTTATAAGGTGATTGTACAGGGTAAGTTTATTATTGTCTGTTTTTAAAAGCTTTCAACAATAAGTCTGCTGCTAGTCCTGGGGAGAAGGCCCCACTGAGGACCTTTCTCTCCATCAGAGGAATCTGTTCTCGGATGCTGGGATGGGTCCGAAAATGTTCCAAGATGTTTTCCTGAATGAGACTCCACATCCAGACCTTCTGCTGCTTCTGCCTCTTGGTGGCCAGCTCCCCGCTGGCCAGCATCAGCTGCCGGAAGTCTCTCATTGCATCCCACATTTCACTGATGCCCTCTCCACTTCTGGCGGAAATGCGAATTACCTATTGAGAAGCCAAAGCTATTATTTCATGGGAAGTCTCAGATTTGCCAGTGAATTCTTACAGTTTTTGGAAACAGACAAATGACCCAAATGAGATGTTAGTGCTCTGTAAAGCAAGCACATCTGGTATATAGCGCAGCATGTGCCTCAGAAGGCTAACAGGACAGCAGAAGGAAGACATCGATTTAAGGCCTAATTCTTTAGCCCAGAAATTTATTTCAACTTAGGATGGCTCAGAAAAATAGATGGTCAAGGGAATCCCAGGGGGCTTGTGAGTCTTATGGGATGCGCAGAGGCTACGTGAGGGAGGGTTCTGCAAGATCTGAGTATCAGAGATGAAGCCAAGCTGAGGAAGAGGTCTACTTCCTGTCCCATCGGTGCAAGGCTGCGCAAGCACCCAACACCTCCGTGGAAAACATGGCACTGCAAGCAAGGGCCGCTGCTCTCATGATGACTATGGCTTGGTCTACGCTAACATGGCTTCCTCCTGCAGATACCGCCAGCATCAGTGTGACTGCGCTGCTTCCTACAGTGTTTTTCTTCATTTTCTTAACTTACTAAAAATCACGTGACTGAAGCATCACACTGCAAGCCTTTGCTCTGCTGCCCAAATCCTAATGAAATCAAACCATTAAGGGTTCCCTAACCTCAAGGACAGTTCCTTGTAGAATGGTCCTCCAAGTACTCCCCAATGGCTTGCACAAGTGTGGAGCAGTCTCGTGTATTACCGCACTCTAGTTTTTGACACCCTGGGGTTGAAATAGTATATTTGAAATCAGTGCTACAAACTCTGGCTTTGTTATATTTTCCAAAGTGTATTCTTATTTCAAGCAAAGACTCATTATCTGCTAGCCTGAGAACTACATCCTCTCTCCTGAGAAACACAGTCTACTCAGTGAAAATCAGAAAGGTCTGCAAGCCAACCTTTGGTCTCCAGACTTCCGAGCGCCTGCGGAGCAACTTCAGTGCACTCACATACTCTGCTTGGATCCTGCGGGCTGGCACAACCAAATCTCCATCAGATTTAGTTATGACTACCAGATCTGCCATCTCAATTATGCCCCTTTTGATGCCCTAAGGAGAACAGAAACCCACATTTATCAGAACATTCCATTTATCCTCACTTCGAACAAGGCTAGAACAACCACTGGATGCCATGATTTCAAAGTCAAAAAATGGCTGTCATTTTTTTCTCTATCTTCCCAATTTCCATGGGCCAGAAATAAAAATTATTTGACTAAAATTACCTAAATACACCGACTCTTGATGGAAGTCATCTGTAATACCCCTTCTGAATTTAGAGACTAACTTGGTAAAATATGTCCAGATGTTGAACAAATAGACGATCAACACAAAACATAATGGTGGCAGGTGGCACCTCACATTATCTCATGGAGACAAGAGTTAGCTGTGCAGCCCCACAGGGAATCAGAGCGAATTGTAAGATACAAGCTAGTCAGGTAGCCCAGTACAAGAAAGAGAAATGATCTGATCAGTAGCCCACAAAACAGGTAAGGCAGCTTGAGAGAATAAACAAAGGTGACTGTGACATGCAAACAGGGCCTCGACTGAACGAGCAAACCCTGCCTGTCGCCATCTGAGTGAAGGGGACCCACAGGAGGGGGGGCTCACTGGCCTGCCTCATGATGTGCCCAAAGAATGAGCAGTCTCAGCAAGGAGTGCCTAGGGCGCTCTCCTCTTCCCAATCTAAGCCTCACAGCAGACACTCACCAGCGTGGCGGTGCCCTCCCCTGGGACAGCCCCTCTCACACCCTTGTCCGCTGTTATCCTTCATCAACAGGAGGCAGCTGACAACAGTCATTGGCTTGGGATCATTCTGATGACTGCTGATCACCCAACACCTTAGTCCCCGGTCAAGCCCACCAGAGCCAAGAAAGGCTCTATCACTTAAAAAGCTAAACAAAATCCTTTCCCATGGTCATGAGTGTCTGGCCCCTTCCCACCCACACAGAATCCCCGCTCCTTGCACACACAGAGACTCCACAGAGACTTCTATGTCCCAGTCTCTCTCTCTCTCTCTCTCTCTCTCTCTCTCTCTCACCCACACACACCCACACACACACACTCCTCCTGTGTCTCTTCAATGGGCTAGCCTTTATCATAAATCTTTGATTACAGTCCTTTCTTGAATTCTATGAGTTATTCTAATGAGTTATTGAACCTGAGAGTGGGAACCTTCAGCCAGCTGCTCAGTGCTGCAGGTGGCCTGGACACCCAGCTGGTGTCTGAAGGGAAGGGATACGTGAAGACTCGAGCTAGCGAATGACAGAGGACCAGAGTGCTATGCTTTATTCAGTAAGCACGTTACACAATGATACCACATGGATTATTTTTGAGTCAAGGGTTGTCCAAACACCCATGGTGCTGTGTCTCTTTGGACCAAAGCCCTCCATTTATTCCAGTCACTTTCATGCTGTATAGGGAAAAGTCATATGAATAGCTCAAAGTCATATCTTTTATTAAGGTTAGTTGAGAAAACAAAACAAAACATGTACAGAGAATCTGCCTGTAGCTCATGTACTTTAGCTAATAAGGATGATGTTTTTCATACACTCCCTTCAACTTGATTGACACCGACACTCCTGCACACTGTACTTCAGTACTGGGAGGGCACCAGAATCATTACCTGCAGCTCATCCCCTCCTGCTGGTGGCAGCAATAAGACGAACATATCAACCATGTCAGCAACAGCAAACTCTGACTGTCCCACACCTAGAATTTTAAATCACAACTTTATTTATTTAAAATATTCAGTAATTACTTTTTTTTTTCAAGTTTGCTGGCTCATTTCCATTCTACCTCATTCAATTCTTCATCTTCATAGTTACATATTAACCCCTTTAAAGCTGTTATAACTAAACAGACAAGACTGGATACAGAATAAAGCTTATTTGCTCAGAGTTCTGCAGAGTGGCAAATGCAAATGCAAAAAGCCACATCTACTCGAACAGCATCATATGGGAAGACAGAGCAAACCTGCTGAATGCCATCACAGGGGCCTCATGCTCATCATCTTATCTAATCCCAATTACTTCCCAAAGACTCCATCTCTAAGTGCCATTACCCTGAATTCAAATTAAGTGTCAACACACCCTCCCTTTTCTCACTGGACCAGTGTTTTGGATGGAAACCTTACAGACTTCTGCTCTCTCCTACTCTTAACGCTCTCTCTTGGCTTCTCTTTCATCATCAAGGAGCCTGAACACCGACTAGTTTTAAACCATGTCTGCCAAATATTTTTTATCTCTTTATGCCTTTTCATCTTTATTCCCACTCTGCAAACCCCTAACTCTCTCCTCTTTAAAGATGCTTGGAAAGACCTCCTAATTGCAGACAAGTACCACCAAAGGGCCTCATAAAAGCTCTCTCCCCTCAGGAGCAGGAGGGATAGCTCAGTGGTTAGGAGCACTTGCTGCTTTTGCAGATGGCCCAGCTCCGCTCTTACCAGCACCCAGTGGCTCACAACTCTAGTTCCAGGAGATCCAGCAGGCCCCCTTCGGGTCTCTGTAAGCACCAGGAACCTATGTGGTATGTAGACATACATGCAGGCAAAACTTATAGGCAAACTAAATAAATAAATAAATAGCCATTTCCTAAATGTTTTCCGTCAGTTTTCTTCACTGTGACATCCACATTACAGAGGCAAAAAAGGAAGAACTTCCCAGCTTCTTCCTGTCCTGCTCTGTGGACAAACAGATGCCAACACAGCCTTAGTGAGGCTGCCCACTCTGCCAAGTGGATGTGAGCAGTACTGCTGAAGAGGACCTCCATTCCATCACTTTCCTGAATCTCACTCCTCCTTGAACCCCCAAAATATATATTAAAAAAAAAAAATTGAACAAAAATTTCACAGCTTCCTCAACCATATTTCTTGCTTTCTCTTTATGGTCATATTTCTGGAAACCTTAATTGATGCTCACTGTCTACGTTTTTACCTACATCCCTAGCTTGATGCTCACCTGGAAACTCTGCCTTTTTGTGGTATAGAGACTTCTGGTGCCTGTTTCTATCTATTCATTTCCCTTCTTCAGCCCGGAGCATCAGTGTACCAAGTCAAGCCCACATTTCAAGGTTTTCTGTCAGGCAGACGCGCGGTGGGTGGGGCTCCCAGGAAACTTTGAAGGGGGCTAGGTCAGCCGGATGTACCTCTTCTAGCTCCCACTTCACCTTTCATATTCCCTCTCCTTCCTGCGCTCCAAAACCCAGGTGGGATGGTCAGAACTTCATCAGCCACCTTCCAATGAGAACAGAAACTAAGTGCAAAGGATGGAGAGAGAGCCAGCGGCATTCTGGGGTGCTGCCCTGGGGCTTATTTACTTACAAGACCGCAACCCCCTCTTTTCTGAGTCACTATTATTGCAAGGCTCTGGACAAGCAGCAAAATACAACTTTGAGATACCATGCTTAGCTTTATATTTCCCTCTCCTCTGCATCCTCCTCCTATCATTCAGGTGACTCTTCCTCCATTCAAACTTAGATGGTGAACTTTCTAAGGCTGGTTTGACTACTGTCAGGGGCTAAGTTAGACCTGTCTTCCCCTCGGGTCTGTTGTGGAAACTACAGCCCTGTGTGACTGTAAAGAGATGGGGCTCTAAGGAGTTAAATGAGGTCATGAGGATGGGGTGCTATGCCAATGGGACTGATGACCTTATAGGAAGAGGAGAAATTGGGGTGCAAATGCCTGAGAAACACCCACATGAGGGCACAGCAAGAAGAAGGCGTCCATCTGCAAATAAGGGAAGAGTGCGCAGAAAACCACCCTGTTTCTCTTCCAGCTTCCAGAACTGTGAGGAGGCAGCTGTCTGTGGTCTCAGCCACCAGCCCATATTTATGACAATAATCCTAGCAAACCAATGTGGCTAGTTCCCATTTTTAATCCCCCATTTACCTTCATTTAATCTAAACCAAATTTATAACTTGGTACAGAACTAGAAGCCATGTTGGTGAGCATTAGGTCTGTTAATTGCCCAGTCTCCTAAAACAATGTCCCCTGGACACCTACTAAGCCTGTCACAGTAATGCACTGCTAACTAACCCATTCCTTTGCCTTCCCCTAAACTCCCCTTTTCACAGTGTTCTCTATGGCTCCAGCCCTCCTTCCCGCATCTCTCACATTTAATCGTCAATAAGGCCTGCTAACTCACTGCCGATGCCTTCTAGCCCACGTCCTCCTAGCCTGGCTTGAAGCAGCTCTGCCCGGCCTTTCTCTGACGGACGGTGGTCTGGCTGCCTCCACCTCCACTCTGGTTTTCATCTGCGCCAGGGCTCCCTCCACATGCATGTGTGGCCCCCTCCTCTCAGAAAAGGGGCTTGTGGGAAAGAATTGACCCTAGCCAGTGCTCCGGGTTCCTCTCTTGGCCAGCAATGCTCTAAGTGGCCTGAGCAAGCTGAACTGCTCTGAATGAGTCATGCTTTCTCACTCTGTGTCTGTGCAAATCCTGTTTACCCCTACTATTCACTCCCACCCTCTGTCCTCCAGGAAGCCTTCATAAATTCTCCTAAACACCACTTTGGGCTGTGCCATACATATTCATCACAAAGTAAATCAGAAGATCTTGTCTCTTCACAAGAATGTAAGCTGCTTGGAGTTTTCTTTTGCCGTTTTCACTCAGAAATTATGTGCTAAGGATGAAATAGACAGCCTCATAATCCCAAATTCCCACCCGCTCTGATTTTCTTAATGAATACTGTGAACATGAAGTACGCTTAAGTAGTGCTGTGATTTGCTTTTCAAGGTCATTCTAGTGCTTACTATCTTCTGGCACATGGAACATGTCAGCTTACATGTCAGCTCTGCAGGCACATAGTCCACGCTCACCTTTTATATGGTAAAAGCACATAGCCCATATACTCAAATGCCTGGGGGGCCAGACCTTGTATTTGATTAACTTCACATCTGCTGAATGAACTAATAAATGAAATCAGTTGTTACTCACCTTTAAATAGCATTCATTCTAGCACTATGAAATAGAGTATCACACTCACCTACAGTTTCAACAAGAACGATGTCATAGCCCCCTCCTTCACACAACAGAATAGCTTCATTTGTGGTCCTTGTCACACCTCCTAAAGTTCCACTGGTAGGAGACGGCCTGATGTATGCATTCCTATCTCTTGAGAGCTCAATCATCCGGGTTTTATCACCTAAGAGGGATCCTAAAACACATAGTTACATTTTACAACCATGGAAGAGTTGTCAGGGCTAATTACCAATCAGCGAATTGTAAGGGGACACACTTTACAATATTCTTCCCAAACCTCAAGTGTATTTCACATTATTGAGTTCTTTTCCAACTCACTGTCTATCCTCACAGTAGAGTGACCGTTAGATCATTTCAAGTTCCTGAAAACCAACAAGGGCTTCACAAACTGACCAGAGGTTCAAATCTTAGCCCTAGTCTTCTAGGCACCAATCATACCTCACCTTCCTTGGCCAATGTGGGCCTCCCCGTCCCAAGCCAACCACGCCTCTGGCCCAGCAGTGCGGTCTCTCCACAGCTCTCCACACTGGTGTGCCTGCCTCTTTGCTGGTGTCCCACCAGGACATCCAGTGCGTCCTCGTGCCACTAACTCACAAGAGGTCAGATCAGGGTCCTGGCTCTCCCTGTTCCTGGCCACTTTATTTTGGGGTGTTATTTTTCCCTTCCTGAAGCCCTCCTCTCCTACATAAGTGGGATAATAAGTCATGATGAGGTTCCAAAGAGATTATGCAGGAATGGAGCACGCGCTTCAAAACCAGACCAAATCTACCTCTCACACCGAAAACCTCTTTCCTATAGATAGTAATTCTGGAACTTGTTCATGACATGCCCTTTGTTATAAATCTTCATTGTACATAATAACTGCTTTGCAATCTGCCAGCACCCGGAAGGATATAAGAAAACACTGGTGACCCTCTCTTTTCTCTTATTACCAAGAACAGCCTCCACTACCCATTCTCCTATTTCACAAATGACATTTTATCAGCCTAATGCAAATACCATGGAAATGTATCTTGAAGCTACTTTGAGTCTCAGTCTGTTATTTCTAAACCCCTTATCTGAAGTTAGGAAATGTGGAGTTTACACTAAGTGGAAAGTAGAGTGAAAAGATGAAAAGTAACACCTTGGGGTTTCACAGCCACTTGTCTATTTCTTTTACATGATGGTTTCCAACCACAGTCAATCCCACCCCCTATAGGAATCTGCCATATGTAGAGCCATCTTCATGCATCACAAATGGGGGCAGGGTGCTACTGCCACCACCTGGGTAAAGGGTGGGATTCTGCTAAGCCAATCTCAAGTCATAGGACAGAGAGGCCACATACAACCAACTGCCACCGACCAACAAAGACTTTCCACCAGTGTTACCAAATGCTACCAGTGCCAAGGTTGAGCAAACGTACTGTAGCCAGAAGAGTTGAGCTAATTAGCAATCAGGGAATTGCAAGGGGGCATGGTTTACAGTATTTCTTCTCAAACCTCAAGTATATTTCACAATATTCAGTTACCCTCCAGCTCACCATCTATCCTGACCCTGGAGTTCCTTGGAGAACCTCATGCTAATGCTACTCACACTGAATGTTAAACAAAGTGGTTAGATTAGGTAGTCAACTGGTATCCAAGGAATAGATTGATTATATTTTTTGATTTAATTATCATGTTTGAGCAAACATCAATACTTGAAAACTCTGGAACCACTTTTACCTTTTCTTTCTTTCTATTATTTTTAATTACATGTCTATGTATGATTCTACATGCGAGTATGTGTGCACAAGGGCAAGTGACCTTGGAGGCTGAAGGTGCTGGCCTCATATCCCCCTGGAACTAGCATTACTGATGGTTGTGAGCTACCCAGCATAGGTCCTCTGCAAGAGCAGTCAGTGCTCTTAACCACTGAGCTGCCTCTCTAGCTATTAATTTCTTTTTGCCATATAATTACATGTGAGGAGTGTGGACATTCTTACCTGAATATCTGCACTCTGCCTAAGGGCTTCTCCTCACCACATGAGGTGGTAAAGACAGAAAACTTCCCTAAAGGTGTGCCCTTTGCCGTCATTAGTACCTGTTAGAGCCTTCTAATAGCTAGGGCATACACCTACCATATACTTCAACTACCTTACTCACTTCACATAGCTTTTTCCTAAAGTATTTTTCTGCAGGTCATCATCCCTGTGGAAATGCGCAATCGACTATAGGTACATTCCCCCTATGGACCCCATCTGAACACAGCATTATCAAGTCACTCTCCCATAGAACTGTTCTTGCCAGTGACCCGAAACGTTAAACTGTAGGCCCCTGGGTGCTCTCAGTATTATCACAGGAAGCTTATGAATTTAGAGCACAAAGGTAGATGAAGAAATGAATGCTGCTCAAACATTTGTGCTATTTTCAACATATATTAATGTATACATAGACCGGGAAGTCATAACATTCTATTTATCTGCATCTATTTGTTCTTTTGAATTACAGATACTTTTTTTAAACCCTAAGACTAGGATGCTTTGCTTTCAGTTTAGGAAAGGTCAAGAACCAGGGCTTAGTCAGTGAAGTGCTTGTTCTGCAAGTATGAGGAAAGAGTCTGACAGGCAGAACTCATGAAGGAAGTCATGCCTGCTGGCACATGTTTGTACTCCGAGCACTGGGGAGGCAAAGATGGTGATTCCTAGAGCTTGTCCCAGCCAACAGGGCCTACTCTGTGGGTTCAGGAGAGTGAGAAAGCAAGATGTCACCAAGGAATGACACCTGGGGCTGTCTTCTGATCTTCACACTCATGTCTACACACATGCATACACACACATACACATAGAAAAGAAAGATTTGGAGTCACTTAGGTATGTGCTATGCAGCTTTAATCACAGGATATAACATCAGTTCTTTTATTAATTACTATTTCAAGTTATTCTATTTTTCTATGAAAAATACTCTAGACCATGAAGGCGGAGAGGAAATGGCCTTTTCACTTGCATAAAAATTAGGATTATTTATGAAAACCCTTCATTAATTTTTATTTAACAAGTTCCTTTGTTTGGTTGGTTTCGTTTGGTTTTTTGAGACAGGGCTTCTCTGAGTAGCCCTAGCTGTCCTGGAACTTGCTCTGTAGACCAGGCTGGCCTGGAACTCAGAAATCTGCCTGTCTCTGCCTCTAGAGCGCTGGGATTAAAGGCATGTGGCAGCCTTACTTAGCAAAGTTCTTAAACAGTAAATAAACCAGACAACAAACTGATAAGGATTTAATCTTAGAGCTTGAGTCTCACTTCATTTACAGTTAAACTTTCTATTAGAGTGACCAAAATCCTTTGAGTGCTCTGAGCCATCTTTCTCAAAGAAGGGTAATAAGAATTGTTATCTACGTCTCCCCTACCTAAGGTCTTTCAAATATGACTACTTCCTGCAGAATACCACAGCATCCAAACAAACACTCCTACTGAATACCTAGCATTGATCCCTCAGAGCACAGCCTACAGTGTGGCCTGTTTCCCTCATAAGACATAAACGTGAGCAAGGCCAAGAGCATCGTGCCATATTCACCCTGCAGTCATGGTCCCTGTTGTGCTGGTGCCTCACCTCCAAAAGGCCCTCCAGTGCCCAGTCAGTGAATGCTGTGATCTGAGCAGCTTAATTCACGGAGACAGAAAGGGAGGAAAATGGTTCCTATAAATGAGTATTTATAGGAAAGGCTTTATATGTTTTCTTTAAATGGTCCTTAGGGAGCTGTGTTTATATTCATTTCATCTTTGATGAGATGCAAATTAAATGTTGAGTGACGGCATGACCTCACATCAGAAAGCAACTGCTGAACACTGTGGAGTACAGAGTGCCCTGCAGAGAGCTGTAGGGAACAGCAGTGAGTTACACGGCCCTTCTGGAGCTTTCTGCTTCGCTGGGCATATAATGAACAGACGGCAAGCTGTAAACATTGTACTCCTTTTCCTCAAGCTTCACTGAGGAGACGCTTTAGAAACTATGAAGATTACACCAGAGATGTGAGGACCACTGGAGAAGCAAAAACGACCAAAAAGGGCCTGGCCTTAGGCATAAGCACCAAAGGGCTGAAATGTGCCATTTAATCAGCCTCATCTTCTGGCACCTGTGCCCCTCCCTGAGTATCCACTGAAGTGCCCAGAAGCCGACCTCCTCTTCAGAAGTCAGCACTTTCTCCCTTAGCCTCAGTGCTCCCATCTCACTCTGCAGAACAGGAATGGCTCCTTCCAGGAGACCAAACTCAGCTGGGTAGAGGTCACCCCACTGCCAGTTCCCACTAACCTGTAACAAAGCCCCCACTAGCTGTCCAGTTAAAAAAGTCAGCCATACTCACCACCACTAGTGCAAGAAGACGGGTCCACAGCTAGCACAGATAATTTGTGCCCTCTCTCAGTCAACATTTTCCCAAAATATTCTATAAAGGTTGATTTTCCTGCACCAGGGGGCCCAGACAGTCCTATAGTGGAAAGAGGTCTAGTAAGTGTTACAGCTCAGATGAAAAGGTATCCTGGCAACCAGGAGCCAAGGAATATCCAAAGTCATACCATACAACAACCCTCACACAAGAGATTTATTTGGAGAAAAAAAAAAAGAAAAAAGAAAAACCCAGGAGGTGGCTGCCTGTGCTCATGTGAGGAGCAGCAAAGGACTGAACAGGAAGCAGACTTAATACAGTATTTCTTGAGGGGGAAGGGGGCTTTCCAGGGGGGTCTGGATTGAAGCAATTATGTAGCCTGATCTTGAGGCAAACTCAGGGATTTGGGTTTTTATTTTTTTAATTTTTTATTTAACTTTTATTAATTACACTTTATTCATTTTGTATCTCCCCATAAGTCCCTCCCTCCTCCCCTCCCGGTGATTTGGGGTTTTGTTGTTGTTTTCCTCTAGGGCAGAGCCCGGCCACTGTCCTGCCTGAGGCAGCTAGGAATGGCTGTCTGGAATTCTGGGGGTAGGGGCCTAGCTGCTGGTGCCTCGAGGGACTTACAGGTCTCCCATAAATGAAATCAGCACCATGACTAGCTTTCTCTAGTTTATGAAAATCATCACTGACATATTTTAACATGCCTTAAAGCAGTGAGTGAAAAATCACCTCTTTATCTAATTCCTGGGTAATAGTGAGATAGATAGGAAAAAAAATCTAAATTCCATATGTTTATAAATTCGCTTTCGCCAATTAAAACATGTATTTCCTCTTTCCTATAATGTAGGTCTTTAGGGACACACTTCATTGCTTGTACTCTGGTGTGCAGAGTTTCTACATGTGCCCCCCTCTCATTATAGTGGGTAATTATTCCACCCGCCTCACTTCTGCTTCTGCCCATTAGGAAAACAATGTGTTACTCCAGATACTGCCAGTGATTGAGAAAGTAATTTCCTATACAAATATTTTTCCTTCTTCTCATTCATAACTTCAAGAAAATACCCAATAAACAGAAGTGTGAAAAAAAAAGACTGTGTTCAGAAAGGCAGGGAGGCCTAGGTGTAGAGTCAGTCTGCCGTGGCAGGTAAGGGCACGCCCTGAGCTGTCTCATCCTTGTGCTCTTTCTGACAAGTCTATGGTCTGTACTGTGCTCAGCCTCTCCCGGCGCCTCAGCACGCTCCTCAACACAGCAGCTACTGTAATAGTATGGGTCTTTGAGGTTGTTTTAAGAACTAGATGAGATAATGTTTAGTATGAGAGCCGTACCCAGTCAATAAAGAGTATTAGTCATGGGTAGTTAGCAGTCTTCAAAAGTGTGCGCAGTGTAGGCAGGCTTGGGTCCTTGCTACTATTCATGTGTGTTTCCTTCTTAAGCACATTCATAGATGCTGAATAAATCTGTGTTGATTTTATTTATGATGATGATAAAATAACTGAAGATGAGTTTATCCAGCCTAAGATCAGGGTAAAATATCCAGAAAACCCTGAGAAGGTACGTGTGAGTTGTTAAGCAAACAAAACCCTCAGCCTCTTCTCTCTTCAAGGGTTCTCTAAAGCCAAGCATAAGCAGACACCTTGTCGTGCCGGGTTTTTTCCTTGGGGTTTCGCTGCTCTGTCTACAACATATAAAGATGATTACGATCCATTGTGGTACTGTCAAGATGAGAGTCCCTCCTTGCAGCTAGAGGAAGGACTGTGAATGTGTGCACAGGGACAAAGACTAGTTGGAAAGCTATGTTTTGAGCATCCCTATCCATCCCTATAAAAAGTAGGAGGTTTGATCCTGTGTGTTACTAGTGCACTATGATACAGTCTGGTATAATGCCAGCATTTCTACGGAAATTCCCTACACACTTCATACACTTTCCCATCATCTCACGCTGCTTTAGCACAAGAGCTGGTTCAAAGCACCTGTTTCACTGTCGTGGGTCCCTCTCTTTCTACCCAAACTGCCTTGCTTAACTCCTGCTACTCAAAAATATATCTGAAATTTTCAATACTACATTGTTCCAAAAAATATAACAAGCCTACACACAATCTCAGGACAAAGTCAAATAATTCAAAGAGTCAAATGAACATTTAAATGGAAATGGTAAACAATATCTCTCCTTTAAAATCACGGTATAGAGATGGCTTTGAGGGAGGGAGGGTAGAATTGGGAGGGAATGAGAGAGGGGGCTACAGCTGGGATGCAAAGCGAATAAAATATAATTAATGTAAAAAAATAAGAATTTAATTTAAAGAAAGATGGCTTTGAGTTGCCTCTAGAAGCTTAATAAAAAAGTATCTCAGTGACATGAGAGGCTAGAGTCATAGGACATGCTTGGAATCCTAGCAGTCAAGAGGCTGAGGTAGGAGGATGGACAGTTAGAAGTCAACCTTTGGGACATAGCAAGACTAAAGAAAAAAGAAGAAAACATGAGACATGTATAGAAAGACTAATAAAATACTAAAAAACAAATAAATAAACCAGCCAAAAAACCAGAATTTCAAAATGTGATAACTGATCATGGATATGGTACAAACATTGGAATTCCCTCCTGGCTCTCTAGATGAGGACCGCCAAAAGAATGACGCACTGACTAACAAGTCATTCTGTGTGCGTTTCTGTTCCAGAATCCACAGCAAGATTTTTGCCACAACAAAATTCTTACTCTCCTTGAGTATACAAGCTTGCTTCAAATGGTCATGGTAATTTTACCATACGTGAAGATTAATACTTGTGAAAAATAGCATTTATATTTTATCCAATTATCAAGAAATCTCCATTTGTTCTCATACTATTAGGACTCATTTTCAAAGAAGACAGAATTTAGAAAACCATTTACCGGATGACAGAAAAGAAAACCGACCTACTCGAAATGTGAGGGGATTTCCTTGGTTCAGCCGCTCCTGCTCCCGCTGGTGGACCAGAATTCTCTGAAGAAGCACCTGGGCCAACTCCTTTTTCCTGGTGTGAGTTGATTCCACCAGAGTTATGGCTTCCGCTAGGCAAGCTCTCTGTCCTTGGACTAAACCTGTATAAAGTTTATCCACAAGTCTTTGTTCTTTATCAGAAAGTCCTTCTGTGTGGTCCTTCGAGATAGCCTGGACACATAATGTTCTCTTCAAGCCATCGAACGGCAGCATCCACTTAGTAAAATGGTGTCCTAAAGACTTCGGCAGAGCCCTTGGGATGCCTGAGGCAGGATGAAGTGAGTGAAGGATGGAGGGGGGCCGTGGGGAAGGCGCTCTTGAAAGGCTGTGTAGTAAATGCCGGTAAGGACGCAGTAGCAGCCTAGGGATACTCATTTTGTTTGTAACTGGATGCATCCTAGCTAGTGTGATTTATGAACTCCCTAGGAGGAAGAAAAAGATAGATTTTTTAAGTTCAACAGACAAACACTGAAGTAGTAAAACGAAGAGTCTACTACATTTCCTGCATCCTAAGACATGAATAATCAGGGTTCTCCATAATATATGTTATGACTAATTTGGCTGTCAGCTTGACTACATCTGGAGCTAACTAAACCCCAGGCTGCAGAGCACTCCCTGTGAGAGATTTTCTTAATCAGTTTATTTGAAACACAAAGACCCACCGTAAATATGGACTACACTTCCTGGTGGCGGGCCACATAGATATGGGAGAAGGAAACTTTGCTTTTTGCCTCCTTGCCTTCACTCTCACTAGCAAATTCATCTACCCTGCTACTGAACCAGCTGGCCAATATTAGAGCCAACTTCTTCAGGGCTTAAATGTAGACTGAAGATCAGCAGCTCTCCAGGAATCCCCCAGGACTCCCAGGACCTGACTAGGACTGTGAGAATCCAGTCTGGAGGACTGAGAAAACCAGACAACAGCATTCCTCCATGGTCTCTGTTTCATTTCAGGGTACTGACTTACTAGATGGACCCCACCCTGTAAGCCAAATAAATCCTTTCCTCTCCAAGTTGCTCGTGGTCATGGTGTTTTATCTCAGCAACAGAAACTGAAGCCACTAAAATTTAGGAATTTAGGAGAAACTCCTTTGGCTGCAGTTAGTATTTAGAATAACTCAAAATGCAAAACTACTTTATTGTAAAATAGAATTTACTTAAAATTGCCCTGTAAACAAAACCAACACAATGCCTTTGTAAAAGGTGCTTGCTACATACACCTAACAACCACTCGGGACCCATAACAGAAAGAACTGACTTCTAAAGGTTATCCTACCTCTAAATAAGTACATGAGTGTGTGCACATACACAATAAGAATGACAATAAATAATAAATGTAAAAAATAACATACAAAATCTCTAGACTGATATTTTCTGACATGTTTTTTCTTGCATTCATCTTAATTGATTTCTTTAGGTCAACATACCCGATTCTGAAGCATGCACAAAAGACTCTTTCAGAAGATTCCCTCTGATGCTGGCATCTTATTCATTCTCTGCATAAGAAGTGTGATTAAGAGTGCAGCACTTGAGGCGCAAGTTGAGGTACACGCATGTACTCAGAGAGGCGCCCCGAATAAACTGACATAAGCACACAATCAACAACAATCAGCCTTGATGTGGAGGAAAGCGCGTAGGCCGGGTAGTGAGCAGAGCAGTGCACCTCAGAGATGGTCACAGGAGCCTCTTTATTCAGAGCACCTATACCCAGCCCCACACCAGCCTCTGAGGATGAGCATGCTCAGGTCCGAACCACCACCAGGTAAAAGCCTTTTCAGATTCACTCACCACAACTTCTCATGTTAAAGCTGACGTGCATGTGAAGTCAGACGGGACAAAAATTATGAACCATGGCCACTCACTTTTGCTGTTATGACTTAGGGCAAGTTATATAACCATTCTGTGCTCCAGTCTCCCCTGGAGTACACAGAACAGGTAAGAGCAGCGTGGCTGCAAGGATTAAATGACCTGAGTCCTATGAAAAGCCCAGAGTAGTCCGCATTAGCCCTTGCTGTTATTTTATCATCTTGTAAAACACTGTAATGCTAGGTCACACAGCCACTTCCAGGGGGAAGCTAGGATTTATAGGTGTACAGAACCTACTCAGCTGAAGTGTTAGTTTCCCTATACTTTGTGGCGAATTGACTTACTTTATTGCTTCAAAGTGCTTTCTCTGAATGGTACTCAAAGGCCAAAGAATATGAAATTTATTTCAGTTAATAATAAACACTCTATTATGAGTAAAGAAGAAATGGGTTAAAGTTTTTAATTTGTAGAATAGAGCCACTCTGATTTTCCAAGGCAGCAATCTTTTTTTTTTCTATTTTGAGAAAGGTTGTGATGGCTATTCTTGGTTGTCAACTTGAATACATATGGAATTAACAATGCAAAGAACTGGGCACACCTGTGAGAGAGTTTTTTCTTAAATGATTTGAAGTTGGAAGACTTACTTCTAATCCAGACCTTTGAGCTGGGAGAGTACATGTTTAATCCAGATCTTCTGGGGCGGGAAAACCTACCTTTCATCTGGGCACACCTTCTGCTAGCAGCCTATATAAAGGAGACAAAAGGAGGAAGCCTTCCCTCTTTGTCTCCTTTCTCTGGCTCTTGCTCTGCTAGCAAACCCATTTCTTCATTGGCATTAGAGCCCACTTCTTCAGGATTCCAGTGTGTACATCCAACCTCATGAACTGAGCAACTACTGGCTTCTTAGACTGTTGTCTTAGCTGAAATACAGTCTGTAAGCCAGTCTAATAAATCACATATATACGATTTACATATGGGTATATACATAGGAGAGCTTCATTTGACATGTTCTATTACTCTAGAGAACCCTGACTAACACAGAGGTACTATACTTGTTTATATAAAATAATCTTAGTCTAAAAGGACAATTAATAGATGATAATATAGACACATCATTTCTCCCTTCCCTTCCCCATTCCAAACCCTTCGATATACACCCCCTTGCTCTTTCAAATCCATGGGCTCTTTTTCCATTAACTGTTACAAGCATGCATACATGTGTGTGTGCGTATTCCTGTATACACACATGTATTCTTAAAGATGACCTGTCAGTCTATATAATGTTACTTATATGTATGTTTGAGAGCTGACCATTTTGTATTGAATAACCAGTTGGTGTGCTCTTTCCTGGAGAAGACTCCCCCACTCTCAGCATTCCTGTTATAGTTCTTGTAGGGTTGAGGCCTTGTGGACTTTCCCTCGTCCACTTCAGCATGTCTATTGCTACCCTTGTTCAGCTCGTGTTTAGGCAGTCATATGGTGAGACTTCATGTGTGTAACTTCTGGCTTTTTTAGGAGACACAGTCTCAGAGAAAATATTGTGATAAAAGGACAATTAAAAATGTGTAAAAAGTATTAAAGACCCATCACTACCTCTTACATACATTTCTTTTTAAGGTAGGGGCTAGAACTATGACTCTGTGTTTAAGAGCACATACTGCTTATACAGAAGACCCAAGTTTCATTCCCAGTACCCACATCAGGTAGCTCATTCTACAGTATTTCCAGTAGGGGATCTGATGCCCTCTTCTGGCCTCTGTGGGCACCTGCACTCACTTGCACATACATACAACATAAAATTAAAAAATAAAATTAAATATTTTAGGGGCTAGATAGGTGGCTCAGCGGCTAGGAGCACTGGCTGCTCTTCCAGAGGACCTGGGTTCAATTCCTAGCACCCACACAGCAGCTCACAAGTGTCTGTGACTCCAGTTCCAGGGAATCTGACACCCTCTTCTGACCTCTGATAGCACTGCAATGCAAGTACACAGGCTTATATGCCGCAAAACACCCATACTAATAAAGTAACTTTTTTTTTTTTTGAAGCAGGATTTCTCTGTGTAGTCCTGGCTGTCCTGGAACTCACTCTGTAGACCAGGCTAGCCTCAGAACTCACAGAGGTCTGCCTGCCTCTGCCTCTCAAGAGTGTTTGCATTAAAGGCATGCATTACACCTGGTTTATAAAATACATTTTTAAATACATCTTTTTAAAAAATTAAGAGGACTCTATCTTCAAAGGCTTCTTTCAGCGTAACTTTAAGCACGATTCTTATCACCACTACTACCAGTACCACTAGACCAACAGTGCATGGGCAAGACTGTATTTTCATTCAACTACTCTTTTCTGAGTACATACTATTCCCCAAGGTGATCGGAATATAGTGAAACATGGGTGGTGCAGAACTGATGCTAATGGTTTCTGCCTGCTTTGGCCTAAATGGGACCTGTTCCCTATGAGTCCAGTCTATGGTCCCTAACAGCTAACAGTCTTAGGAAATCGTAGAACCTTTAGGAGTTGGGACTTGGCTGACACAGACAGTGGTTTGCTATAGAAGAAAACCTTTGGTGGTTGATTCTTTTTGCTTTTGACCCCAAGCTCTTGGCTTTCTGTATGCCTGGGTGATATGAAAAGCCCCACCATCTATTCTAACCACCATGTCTTCCTCACCATAATGTGCTCAAATCATCTGGGAAAATGAGCCAAAATAAGGCTTTCCTCCCCTAAGTCACTTCTTTGAGGTATTTTGGTCAGTGATAAGAAACAATAAAACAATACACAGCCATTACCTTTAATGTTCTATTTAGTTCCTCAGCAGTTCTAACAAATTACTATACTGGAATTAATTGCTACATTCCAACAAAAAGATGATTTTTCCAAGTAGGGTCACATTTCCAGGTTCAAGGATTAGGATGTGAACATATCCTGTGAGATTCCTATTCAACCTACTACACCTTCCTAGGATGTATGCTTCATTTTCTTCAGTGACATAGTCCTAGTACTTCAAAGAACTCACAGAATAATATGTACCATGTTCAAGCAAAACAAAACAGCAAAGAGCCTAAACCACAAAGTGCTAAGGGAATAGTCACGATGATAGGAGCTGACTCTCCCTGAGGAGTTCAAATCACTGAGTAAGCAGTCAATGCCAAGACTAAGGCTGCAACATTAAAAAAGCTAAAGAAGGTTGAGGCAGGTTTTCCGGGCTGAGGCCCTAAATGTTTAAGTTCAGAGCAGGTACTTGGTCTACTCACTGCTATATTACAGAAGACTGGAAAAGTCAGTGAAGGCAGAAGGCCAGGGTATACAGAACTAGCGATGGGAGATGAGGTTTGAACCAGGACAAAATCTGAGGCCCAAACCACCCTTTGTCTGTTGTCATGGGCAAATGGAAGAAACTTTCACAGAGGTAAAACAATCAATTGCAGCAGCAGCAGCAGCAACTGATACATCTAGAAGCACTGTGAGAATTCAAGAGTGGTAAGACTCTAATAATACAGAGCCAGGGCTAGAGACCTGAGCAAAGGTCCCTAGAAAGAAAGCAAAGGAGAAAGGGAGAACATACACTTGGGTGGGGCATTAAGGGATAGAA